AAACATAATGTAATATTAACTAATTACAATTATTTTAAACAAAATTTAACTTATAATATGTATATACAACATTCTTAACTACTCTGAAGGACCTGGTGGACAATTATTTCTCCATTGACTTATATTTTGTGCTTTTCTTTTCCAGTCCCTCACCTTCACGTGTTTAAGGTCTTTCTCCACTTTACTTATCCACCTCGTTCTAGGTCTAACCTCTTCTTTTGGGCCGATTAGTTTTTTTTGGTTATTACTAGTTTGGGCATTCTGTTTGCTGCCATTCTTTCCACATGTCCCAACCATCTGATTCTTTGTGACTTGACGAAACTTGGTAGTGTTAGGTTTTTTGTTTTAAAGCCATTAATTCATTGTTGGTTCTTCTCTCCCAACCATCTCCAGTTCTTCCGTCCTCCGAATGTGCGTCTCAACATTTTCCTTTCCCATCTTTCCCAGAGTATCCTCTTCCTTCTTATTTAATATCCATGGTGCTCACCGGTATATGTTACTGTGGGTCGAATTACTGTTTTATATATTCTGAGTTTACCTTGCCTAGAAAACTTATTTTGAGTTTCCGTAGGGGCTCTTAAACTACCTAATGTTTTATTCCCTTTTGCTATTCTTGGCTTCGAGGTCTCATTTCTTATTTCCATTTTCATCAAAAACTACACCCAAGTATTCAAATTTGTTCACCCTTTTAAAACTATAACTTTTTATTACTTACCAGAACCTCACCTAAAGTCTTATTTTTTGGCCTTCTGTCCCTCCCATGATCATATATTTGATTTTGTCTTAATTTAGTTCCAATCCGAATTTCTGTGCTTCTTCGGTGATTTTCTTCACAACTCTTCTTAATTCTTTCTCGGTTTTTGCTAGGATCGTTAAAATCGTCAGGCAAATGCCAAGCACTGGTGCTCAATTTTTCATGATTGTTTCTTCCACCTTCATGTTGCATTTTCTGATTACAGTTTCTAACACTAAGGTGAATAATGTAGTGGAATAAAGGATCTCCCTGTCTCAAGGCCTTTTGCAACCGTAAATTGATCTGATATGTGACTCTATCATATGCTTGTCTAAAATCCACAACAAAAACATGCAGGGGAACTTTACCTTCATAAACAAGTCGTTTGTATCACCTTTAATGAAAAGATTTGGTCTACAGTAGATCCGTCCTTTCTAAAGCCGGCCTGATACTCATGTTAGGATTCTTTCCGTGTAGCAATTTCGTTTATATCTCAATATTCTTGCCAAGATTTTGTTGGCATTATTTCCTTTTCCCATACTTGCACTAGTAGCTGATATATTTTTCTTTGTAGTTGTTCTCCACCCAAACTTGATCATTTCTATGCATATGTCATTTTTACCAGGACTTCTGTTACTTTTTTATTTCTTGTATTGCTGTCACCATCCTCCTCCTCTGTAGGCTGCCTTTCAACTATCGCATCTTCTCCAGCTGTCCAGTTGTCTTACTGCTTCGTGGTCCTCCTCACCATTTAATAATTCTTCAAAATGTTTTTTCCAATCCCACATTATTTCTGCCGGATCGCTAATTAAATTTCTGTCTTTACCTTTCACATAACTACAGTGGCTTTGGTAACCGTCTCCCATCTTTTTAACTTCCTGATAGAAGTTATAACGACCTCACCTCTTTGTTTTTAAACTTTCTTCTATCTCTTTTAATTTCAATTCATTGTGGTATCTGTTTTTCCTTTCTACACAGAGCTTTCAGTCTATCTCGAATTATTCTATATTCTTGTTTTTTACACTCTTTATATATATATATATATATATATATATATATATATATATATATATATAATATATTATATATATATATATATTATCTATTAATATTTGTTGTCTGATTTTTCTTCTTTTCCTTTGCTATCGCCTGACACTCTGACAAATGTTTGATAACTCTTCATAAAAGGAATCTTTAACTTGTTGATTTGAATCGTCTGTTGGCGCATAGACTCTAACAACTATTGTTTCGATGTCGTACAATGTGACAGTTATTGTCAAAATTCTTTCAGAGATGTACGCATAGTCTTTTATATATTTTTTTAACGATTTTTTTATAAGAAACTGAGACCCTGATTTAGCGTGTACGTGTTTCTCTACTCCTAACCATATATAAATGAAGTATTTTTATCTGTTTATTTCCTTGGCTTTTTTTTGGTTTCAGAGAGCACTGTGTTGTCCATTTTTTGGCTTCGTCATTTCAGTTAAAATTTCCATTGTCTTGTGAGTCATGCCTTGAGTGTTTCAAGTACACAATTTTCAAAAGTCCTTTTCTTTGTCAGGTGTCGTCGTCGTAAGTGTCCATCCATATTCCGAGGCTCAGCGTTAGAATTTTTAGTCAAAAGAGTTTTTTCCAGATAGATGAGGGACTGACCCATCGCTCCAACACCCAAGCTTGGAGGACCAGAATTTTCTGTTGGGTTTCTCCTCTTAGTCGACATGTTCCAGTTTTAAGGCGCCAGAAACTCGCCTTTTACCTCTCTCTGCTGCTATATAACACACAATCCATTGTACGCCATATACCCGGTGGTTACGCGACATATATGTCTTCTACTGTAGCGTTTTATATTTTAAATTTTTGTAGTACGCCCCTGGTTTTATACCAAGAAATATGTGTTTGTCTTTTACGAAAGTCGAGATTCTAAAATGCGTAATAACGTTTCAAAAATAAAGATGTATTTGTAGTTGAAAACGATTTGTTTACACTAGCCCACAAATATTCCGGTTGAAAAACAGGTTCTTAGAAAAAATTATTTGCAAGTCAGGTATTCCATTTTCTACCACGCAATATTAATGGGATATTTCAAGGTTGTTATGAAGACCTCGTTCGTAGGTATTTGTTTGTTAGCTGCGGAGACGCAAGGGGGAAATTTATTTGGCGTTCGGAATTTGTAAAATGTAACGTGGAGGAGTCGGAGAAAAGATTGAAACTTAGTAGTCGTGTGTAGAATGTTGGGGCAATTTTGAATCAAAAAGTTGATTATGTAAATGGTTACAATTTTTGAAACATTGAAAAAAGATATGTGGCTTCGGGAAAAGGGACAAAAAACCTAAAAAATGCCACACGTTGGGCGCGCCAAATTGTAACGACAGATACAATTGGCGCAAATCTAATACATGCCAGCCACGTTGGGCGCCAAAATTGTAACGAATATATTTTGCTTACCTCAAGGTAAGAACATGGGTAGATTGGGCAAACAATATAAATCGAAACTAGTGCATACGGCACTCAGTGGGTTGTTGGAGAGCTGGGTCGTGGATAAGTTGAAATAAAATTGGTCGGATTGGGGTATCTACTAAATGAAAACAAAGGGATACTTACATAAATCTCCTGGGTCAAAAACGAATAAGATATCAGATAAGTTACCTCTAGCTATTTTCTTTTTGGACGCCGCTTGAAGAAAACTTCCTGCTGGAAAAAGAAAAAAATTCTTCTTCCCTAAAATCAAAAATACATACAAGGATTAGGAGACTTTTCTAAATTAAAACACAAAATGGATCAGAGAAACAAATCAAACGTTTATTTTTGTCTCAAACAAACAGTTATCAAAAATACAGATTATACAAGAAACATACTATATAACATAATACAAATTAACAAAAACTTACGTGTTATTCGTTTACAAAAGAGATTGCTACAAAATTATTTAAAATGGTTCCTAGGTTATAATATGGCCAAATTTAGATTATCAAAAAAACTTATGGATATCTTTTTATGAAAATACTGTAGAACTTAACCTTATATATGAAATATCTTTTACATATAATAATCAAATTGAAATTGTTTTACAACAACAATGGATTAGAGCAAATGTCATATGTCAACATAACATTTTAAATCAGAATAAAATATGACATTTTTAGCTACGATCATAACATAATATAAACTTTAATTATTACAAATTCTTTTATTTTAATGAAAGCAATTATTAAAAATGTCTATATAACTTGGAAAAATTAATATATTAATTGTTACCTTATTTTCACATATTTCGCCACTTAAATTTAAAAAGAAAAACTTGCTACATCTCTGGGGAAGCTACTTGGACAAATTCTCAAACTGGAAAACAGGAAACCATTTCCATACTCAGGAACGACGATCAAATCAGGTTTTGTGGAGGAATCAAGCTAACGACGGGGACATCCTATACAATACTTTTCAAAAGTTTCCGGTACTATCAAATCTCTAATGACTAACACTCTATCAAAACTGCTTATGCAAGAGTATTATCATTTTGACTGGTCTTAAAACATTACAAAAAAAAAAACATTGAATCAACTTTTTGATTCAAAATTGCCCCAACATTCTACATCACGTCTACTATATGTTTCAAATATTTTCTCATGACTCCTCCACGTTACATTTTGCAAATTCCGAACGCCAAATAAATTTCCCCCTTGCGCTCTCCGCAGCCTAAACAAACAAAGACCTACGAACGAGTCTTCATAACAACCTTGAAATATCCCATTATTATTGCGTGGTAGAAAATTGAATACCTGACTTGCAATAATTTTTTCTAAGAACCTTTTCACCGGATACTTTGTGGGCTGTAAACAACTCAACTACAAATACATACTTTATTTTTGAAACATTAATACGCATTTTAGAATCTCGACTTAAAAAAAGACAAACACATATTTCTTGGTATAACAAACCAGGGGCGTACTACAAAAAATCTAAAATATAAAACGCTACACTACATATATGTGTTTGTAAAAATAATAGTAAATAGAAAATAAAGTAAATAAAAATATTAATAATTAATAATAATTTCCTTTTAAGTTATATTTCTGAAATCTTTTAGTACAAAAAAAATGAAGTAAAAAGTAAATAGAATGAATGGGATCTACTTTATGATGATGGCCTTAGACTAATAACTAAAATGAGGGACTCATTGATTTTATTTTATATGCAATCAATCTAAACACCTTACGTTTGAAATTTTGACAGGTATAATGAGTAAATATAGAAGTTGATATTGTTTTAGGGGAGACACTACAATGATCCTTTCCGTCTGCGTTGGAATCCAAATAGGTTCCTGGCTGAACTTCCACTCCGGTCTGATGACCCCATCGGAGCTCACACCACCCTACATCATCATGTGGCCCTCCTACACCATGTTCGGATGTCTCCTCCTTCGCACCTTTATCGGATTCGCCGGCGTTCTACTCACGAAGAAGATCTTCACTAGCGTCACATACAACTTCTTATGTGCTATACTCAAACAGGACGTCGACAACCTGAAGAAGTCTGAAAATACCCTGCAAAACAAGCATAAGACGTTCGTGGAGCTGAGTTGCAAGTATGTCTTTTGTGCCATGATCGGTTTCAATGCCGTCTATGTGCTACCTCAGCTATTTAGGTTTTTGCGAATTGAAAGGCCTACGTTCTTCACAGAGATTTGATAATTACTTTTTTGGGTTAACTGTATAAGGTACCTATTCATCTATCTAGTCACAATACATCTCAATTTATGATCAGGGTTGTCAATAAATATTTGGAGGGACGAAACGGAATTTTCATATGTTGTAAATAAAAAGAATGAATCCAGTTATTGATATAGTTATTAAAAAATGTCTTTAGGCCAGTTATATTCGAGTATATTTTATTTTTTTTTTGTGTTGTATATCGACTTTTTCCCAAACCCTAAATAATAGTAAATTACCAACGATATTTGGTTGAGTTGGGACTCTAGGTCCCCTCTTATGCACATTTTATATCCATGTAAAGTAAAATTTGTATAAATGCCTGCTATACTAAAACAATTTTTAATTGAAGGTGATTAATTGGCAACATTGCACTTAAAGCAACGAAATCGTATTCCACTTATCAATTTTGCAGAGGCGGGACAAAATAAAATTTTAATTATTTATTTAAACACATGAGTAATGTTATTGTTATTAGAGAGTACCTAATACAGTACTTCAAAAAACAGAAAACTTTGCAAAATACTTATTTTTTCATTAGACTAAACAATTTGAAATGTTAACATACGATCTCGTCATTACACTCCATTCTCTATTTATAGAATTTCTGTGTGCTGTAAACGTTATATTTATTTTTTTAACTGTTTAACTTTTTTTAACAAGTTTCCTTGTGTTTATTTGTTTTATATTCCATATAAATTAAAATGAAGTAAGCTAAACTATTATCATGTGAATGCGTGTATAAAGTAGTGCATTTTTTTTGTTTATTTGAATAAATTCTCGAAACATGAAATGAAGAGGGCACTAACTACTGAAGTGTTCATAGCATTGTTAAAAGAAGACTCAGATTGTGAAAACTCACTTGATGTGGTTTATGTGAAACCGGAACCAGATGATATTTCTGATGTAGAAGACATTGATGATAATATTATTTGAGAAGAAGGAATAAAATAGGATATTTATTGCAGGTACATATGAAATACAAGTGATTGGGAATTCTGACGATTCTAATTATGATATTCGGATATTCCTCTGGACCACAGATAAAACGTCCAAAGAAAAAACCTGGCTAACATAGTAAATCCAAATTTGTCCCAAGTTGGGTAACAACAGATACTCAGTAGTAATTAACATCAGTCTGATTCATATTTAGACAATATAAAAGCCCAAGTGAATGATATAGATTTAAAATTTTTTATTGGTATATGTATATTATCTGGTTATCACACTCTGCTTCAAGTTGATATGTATTGGTCGAAGGATGAGGATAAAGAAGTGCACATTATTAGAGAAAGCATGAGCCGACATAGATTTCGTTTAATCAAACGTGAAGAGAAGAGAATAGTGAAGAAACCGCTACATCAGTGACAAACTTAGTACATGGACGTCAATCTAAATTTGCTTTACCAGATGAAACTAGTTTCGACAATATTGGCTACATTACAAAAAGAGACGATAGTGCAAGAGTGTCGGATCTGCAAAAGTAATACTATTTATTTATGTAAATGGTATAGAGTGCATCTACACCCCGAAAGTTAATAATAAACTCTATTTAATAAATAGATTTCCCAGAAATAGAAACACAGCACGCCTATGTACATATAGAATGTGGAACGAATAAACTAAAATATCATATTTCTCTCATTTCCTTTTCTTTCTAAGATCGTAAATATATAGACCAGCGAAATCTTGATACGTTTACCGATGTTTCAAACTATTCAATGAACTTGTCTAACTATACCCTCGTGAATCGCTCCAATTTATATTGTTACGGGCACATTTCATGGAACTAACTTACTTATTTACTTATTACATGGACCCAGCATGCACAATAAAAAATGACCCCGATAAGAATTTACTTCTGACACTTAACATGGTTGCCGTTAGCTCTTAGTTCAATTTGTAGATTAGTCACCTTTAATTGAAAATTGTCCGACTATAGGCAACTTACGACACCAATCGAGCATTAGAGTGTTTGTCAATTAAATGATTATTATATTTATTTTGTATATATTTTTGGTGTATAATAATTTATAAAGTTTTATAAATCGTTAATAAAAGCGTTTATCATAGGAAGCTACAATTTGATGAGTGAATGTTGACCTGCCTAACGGTTAATCGTGCGTACATACATTGACAGATATCGCTAGTGTTTGACAAATCAATGTTGGTTTGTCTCACACAGTTCGTCTTTGTTTAATGCGCCTCTTAAACGAATAAAATTTGATATTAATTCAATTTGAGTAATTTGGAAACATTTAAAAAGAGATTATGTAGTCATTTGAAACGATATAGTAATACATAAAGTACTTAGGGAGTTAAGTGAATAAAATGCATTTAGGATCGCAAATTTTCCATTAACTGTAACAGAAAGTATCATTACGGTTATTATATTTTTGCATCAGTTAATCTACCCTATAGTAAAAGCCACAGTTAGAATGCAGGGGTGGTCTTACGACGTGCAGCGATACCGCTCATGTCGGCGCAGTGGTAGGTGTGTGGTAGTTTGGCGATAGACTGAGAAATCAGGACCGTACGCGCTTTGTTTCAAAAATATTTACTCATTAATTTAACAAAAAAAAATGCAAATTAATTCTTAAAAAATGCCTGTATATATAAAATATCTAATACCTCGTAAATACTTTTATACATGTTATTATGATAACTTAATTGTGAAATCCCATAGACAAAATCAAATTAATTATTATCTAACTAGCAAATTAAAACAAAAAAATTATTTAATGAGTTTTAATGTAGACGCCAGTTTAATAAATATATTTTTTTCTCATCTCAGGGTTCTTAATTGAATTCAAAAACATTACCTTTTCTCTTAATAGTTCTTGAGAAAAAAGAGGAGTAGAAGGAAATATATAAAAGAAATCAATTGGTGCAATAAATTCAAAATATAATGACCAAATACCTTTGTAGATTTTCATACTACATTAAATATACTCTGTTGCATATGCAATTAATCGCAAAACAATTCAAATTAAATATAGTTCAATCAATGTCACGTTTCCACAATTTGCCTCTGTATTTTTCAACAAACTCCTTCCTGGGTTCTGCTTATAAAAACAAAACTGTCGACAAACTCCTAACAATGTTTATTTCTCCTATTGGAAGGACAAAATTCTCCTTAGCTATGCTTCGCTCCAAAAATAGTAAATTATTTTACTTACAAATACTGCAACTACAGCTTTCAAACACTTTCTTTGCACTACTTTTCACCTCAATAATTTTATAGAATATATATTTAAATAGAACTGAGCTTTCATAGTTTTTGCCAACAAGTTTTTGGTCCAATGGCCAGTACCCAAATCGACAAAGAGACATGTTTGCTTTGCGTGGACAATGAGGATTAAAACTGATTCTCTTCTCCTAATGACTTTATAATGATCTTTATTATCCAAAGAATGTGTTTACAATGGAAGCTATTGAAAATTGATAAATATAGATAAGCTATCCACAATGAGTTTTTGATATATTATACTTTTTTATAGTCATTTGCTTTATGTTATTGTTTAGTTCGTCAATGTAACTCACTTATTTATACATCGATGATTAAATCATGCTTTAGTTGAAACAATATTGATAGTAGGCAATTGTTGTGTGCGCGTATATTCCAGTGCTATGACCATTGAGTCCTGATGCGCCGCTCGTGGCAAACCGGCAACGTGGTCGGTTCTCCCGTAAGAAATACATTGCATATCTTACTTGCACTGCATTCTAACTGTGGCTTCCTTTATAGATTTCCTTAACTTCCTTCCTTCTCAACTATATTGATGTCAAAATGGACATATAGTAAATATTAGAGTGAATGTTTACTTTGCTACTTTCTGAACATTCCTCGTAGTGCCCAATGTATTTTTTTTGCGACAATACAAAATTTTTTTTGTAAAAATTAGACTAGTCCGTCCATCTTTATATATATATATTATATATATTATATATATATATATCTATATATATATATATATATATGTATTAAATTTCGTTTTTTGATAAAGTTACAAGGTATAATCGATTTCCATTTATGTACGAATGTTTTTCAGAAGTTTTTCTTTATTACCAGCCCAGAAATTGTCTTTACTTTCGGGGTACATAATTTTTATGATATTATTAAATACAAAATGGTTTCTTTTACAATTTTCTTCGCGCGCCACTGGTAAGATTTAAGTTTGACTATTATACAGTGTTGCCGTTTGTTTTTAAATGTTGTAAGAGTCTCAGAAAATGTAATAAATGTACGTTTTCAAAATTACCTGAAAGATTACAAATATTGTTTTATCATGAAGCTTCAAGGATGTGCAATTTCAAATTGTAATGGAAATAGGGGTCTAAAATAAAGCTACAGCGATAAAACTCGAAAAATTATACCAAGAAAACGAAATAAGATAAAATAAGAGACATTTTAAAGAAATAGACCATAAAATAAGGGGAACAAATTTATTTGACAAATTTTGACTTTACAGAAAAAGGAGGATTGAGAAAATAAATAGAAAAGAGGGGAAAGTAATGAAGGTTCAATTGATGCCGAGCTCTCCACTATGTTTTAACGTGTGTTTGTGTATTTTGCACATAAAAATGCACAAATTGTAAAGTAAAAATGGATCTACATTTGGCAACATTGTAATTTTTTTCCAAATATGTTTTAAATGCCAATTGGGGCTTTCGAGACGAAAAAAACATTGTAATTGTAAGTGCAATTTCGGTGTTTCGTGGCGACATAAATAATAAGAAAGACATTAAACTTATGAACTACAGATTTACATGTGTCAACATGTTTACATGTTTTTGTAACCAAATAAAACAATATGAAGGAGCTTAATATATACTTCACTTAAGTAAAATTAATCTACATATGACAACATGGGAATTTTACGTTTCATATAAGTTCTAAAGGTCCATGAGTTTTCGTGCTAAAATAAAACAATAAGAGAGAACTTACTATACACCAAACTTATGTAAAATGGATTTACGTGTGGCAACACTGTAATTTTTCGCTTTGAGTGAGTTTTAAATGGCAAGTTAAGTGTTTATTGACGAAATAAATTTTCTCATTGATGACGCTAAGGAAATTGTAGGAAAAACAGGCTACAATATTTACTAGTTAAGCAATTGTTATGTTTTTATCGAAATGTACGGTACCATATCAATTATGTTAAGAGAA